CTTTCTTTCTTTCTTTCTTTCTTTCTTTCTTTCTTTCTTTCTTTCTTCCTTCCTTCCTTCCTTCCTTCCTTCCTTCCTTCCTTTCTTTTTCTTCTTTCTTTCTTTCTTTCTTTCTTTTTCTTCATTTCTTCCTTCCCCTCTTTCCTTCTTTTTCCTTCCTTGCTCTCTTCCCATCATTCTTACTTTTCCTTTGTCTTTCCTCTTGTACCTTTCTCCTTCCCCGTCCCTTCTTGGATGCTCAAATGCAAAAGGGGAAACGTTTCTCCGTTTGTTTTGTTTTTAGTTTGTTTTGATAGTCCTCTGCCAGCGATAACAGAGCCCGGGGTGGCAGCACACGGCAACCCCCTCACCCCATTTTCAGATGTCACAGTTTCCTGAAGCCCTCTGCCAGCAAAAACAGTGTGTGTGTGTGTGGGGGGGGTACGCGTGGCTTCCCTAAGCTCTGTTTTCATGGGCCAGTCCTTTGCTGTTTTCAAGACAGCTCTAAGCACCCCACGGGCTGGATTTGACACCCCTGCATTCATATTTCCTTCCGCAAAGTTCTTTCCGCAAAAATCTTAAGACCTGGCTTTTTACTCAAATCACCTGATCTGGTTGGGTTTTTTTAGTTAACTGTGGGGTTTTAAATGGGATTTTTAATGCTATTTAGTGATATTGTTTTTATTGTCATTTTGTACTTGTGAGCCGCCCCAAGTCCTTCGGGAGAAGGGCGGCATGTAAATTTTAATAAAATGAATAAATAAATATTTGGAAAGATATGCCTGGAGATCTTTCAAGATTCCAGACAGAGGACCTTCCATATGTTGCATTTGGGTTGTTCCTGGATCAGATCTGATCTTGTTAATCTCACAAAGCTTTGATCAGGGGTGAAATTCAGCCGGTTCTATCCGGCTCGGGCGAACTGGTAGCGGTGGCTGTGGGAGGCTCCGTCCACCCGTGCGGATGTCATGACAGTGCTTTTTTTGCGATGATTTTAAGCCTCTGTGCACATTTGTGAACTGGTAGGGAAGGTACCGTATTTTTCAGAGTATAAGATACTCCGGACTATAAAACACACCTACCTTTTTTGGTGAGGAAAACAAGAAAAAGAAATCTGCCTCTGCCTCCCAGCAATTTTGCCTCGTTGCAGCAAACAGCAAACAGCCTGCTTTACTTTCATTTTCGTTTTCAGCATAGCTTGATTAGCACAAGGAAAAAAAAATCTGCTCCCAGCAATTTACCTCCTTGCAGCAAGCAGCAGAGGCCTGTGCAGCAATAGCCCATGGCAATCCCTGCAGCCTGAAACAGCTGAGAGTCGGGAGGCCGATCCAATAGACAATCAACTAGTGCTAATTAGGCTGTGCTGAAGCTGAAATGGGCTGTTTCTTCTTGCTGCTTGCTGCAAGGAGGTAAATTGCTGGGAGGCAGAGGCCAATGGGTGGGGGGCAGTGGGTAGGCAGAGCTACACTCGGTGTATAAGGTGCACCTAAATTTTCACCCCCTTTTAGGGGGGGGGGAAATGGTGCATCTTATAACCCGAAAAATACGGTAACTGAATTTCACCCCTGGCTTTGATGAAGCAGACTAGTTTCACAGATTTTTTTTTGCAAATATAGGTCTGTAGTTTATGCATTGGAACTTCATGGCGGGAAATTTCCACTGGAAGGGGCACCAGTGAGAGGCCGGTTTACCTTTTATTTTGTTTTTTTAATTGAGTACGATTTGGCTCAGAATTCTCCCCTGCATCACCTGCTTTGATTGTTTAGAAATGACTGGACAAATAATTGCAATAGCCTGTATGAAGGTCACATTGAGAAGTAAACACTAATTCCTGCACTCTGCAGTTGTTGGAAAGGCTGATGGCTCTCAGCTCATAATGTTCTCACAGCATGTCCAAGTTTGATGGTGGTACGAACGGTCCTAGATTAGTTAAAGGAATTGCAGGAAGGATGAGGAATAAAACTAGATGTCATCTCGCAAAGCATCCCTGGCCTGCTCTCTAGTTGCCCTAGGCCAGGGGGGATGGGAAATTGGTGAAACTGCACAGCAGCCAAAAACCGATGCACATTCCACGCTTATCTCCCTTAAGGCTGTATCCCAGGGATACCTACAGTAGTCAAAGGGGAGTGACCTCTACAACCCCGAAATTGCTCTGTTGGTGAATGTGATTGATGATACACCCGGGGGGAGTGGGGGAGAAACAGGATCATAATTGGAGCGTAAATTACGTCAGGTCAGAGCTGGCTTCACTTGGGAATGTGCCGACATGAAGCTCCTAATGAATGACTGGATTTCTTTTGAAGCTTGGCCCAAGACTCATGATGTCAGGTTTTGATGTCGCCTCAAATAAAATAAATTGCATTTCCAACCAAATAGTCTTTGAAGAAATCTTTCATTTTATTAAGCACGACAATCTGTCCCTGATTGTGGCATAGCCAACTCTGACTTCCTGACCCCAAACCTTCCCTTTCTGTTCCCCAATTTTCTGCGTCTCATTGGCCCTCTTCCAAATCACTCTCCCCATATCTACTACTCAGCTCCCAGGAATGTCCCCCCTCCCATCTCATCTCCTAGGGGGTATTATCTTCAGGGAAAATAAGTAGGTGAAAAGTCAAGCGTCCTCTTGCCAGCTGCCCCCTCTTCTCCTTCTTATGTCAGCACTAGAGTAAATGCAGGTTGAAGTGCTGACACATGATTTAATTAGGGCATCCATCGGAACCCTGACATTAGTAGCAGATTGGGAATGTCCAGCCTGTGAGATGCTGAAGGAAGGAAGAGGGCACATCTTATTATTTGAATATTATATAGCATTTGTAAAGAGACACTGATAACTTCTGTTAATCATGTCCAGCTTCTCAGAGTGATTGTGTCTTTGTTTTATTTATTTATTTATTGGTTCGATTTATATGCCGCCCTTTTCCGGAGGCTCAGGACGGCTTACAATGCGTTAAGCAATAGCCTTCATACTTTTGTATATACCTGCTTAGTAGGGCTTTCGGCCCCCCCAAGCGGTGTTCTATTTTTTTTATACAAAGTCAGCTTATTGCCCCCACAATCCGGGTCCTCATTTTACCTCAGAAAGATGGAAGGCTGAGTCAACCTTGAGCCTGGTGAGAATCTCCATAGACATCATATAATGAAGAATTTGGAGGCCGTGCCTTACAGTTTGAGATATAGTGGGCCGTTCTCGACCACCAGCTGGCGTGGCTTGGTGGGCATGGCAGGGGAAGGATACTGCAAAATCTCCATTCCCACCCCACTCCTGGCGGAAGGATCTTGCAAAATCCCCATTCCCACCCCACTCTTGAGGGAAGGATATTGCAAAATCTCCATTCTGACCCCACTCCAGGGGAAGGATACTGCACAATCCCCACTCCTGAGGGAAGGATATTGCAAAATCTCCATTCCCACCACACTCTGGGGCCAGCCAGAAGTGGTATTTGCCGGTTCTCCAAATTACTAAAAATTTCCACTGCCGGTTCTCAGAACTGCTCAAAATTTCTGCTACCGGTTCTCCAGAACCTGCGGGATTTCACCCCTGGTTTTGTGTCAGAACCTGCGGGATTTCACCCCTGGTTTTGTGTCTCTTTTTGTGATATTTACCAGTGTATCTCAACGCAATGAAACATTTCCTCTTGATTTTAGGTTGTGCATGCTGATGTTACAGAATGAATGAGGTAGATGAAGGTGAATGGAACACACTGAAAACTAATGGGATTTTTAAAAAGAAATTCTTCTAGCTAAACTGCAGTTCAGGAAGGAAAGGAAAGGGAGGGGAGGGGGGAGGAGAGGAAAGGAAAGGAAAGGAAAGGAAAGGAAGGGAAGGGAAGGGAAGGAAAGGAAAGGAAAGGAAAGGAAAGGAAAGGAAAGGAAAGGAAAAAAGGAAAGGAAAGGAAAGGAAAGGAAAGGAAAGGAAAGGAAAGGAAAGGAAAGGAAAGGAAAGGAAAGGAAAGGAAAAGGAAAATGTAGGAAGGGAAGGAAAGGAAAATGTAGGAAGGGAAGGGAAGGGAGGGAAGGAAAGGAAAGGAAAGAAGGAAAGGAAAGGAAAGGAAAGGAAAGGAAAGGAAAGGAAAGGAAAGGAAAGGAAAGGAAAGGAAAGAAGGAAAGGAAAGGAAAGGATAATTTAATCAAACAGAACTAATCTATTTGGCACCTTCAGTTTCCCAAGGATCAAGAGAGGTTTAGAGAAGATACCAGTCTGGAAGTCAGATAAGAATATTTTATTGTCTGTCTCAAACGGGAGTAGCATTAAAATAGAAACCTCTAGTCTACATCCAGAGTTCTTTCATGACTAAATTGCATAAGGTATTTTTTTTTCTCTGAGACCAGCCATAAATCCAATATAAATCCAAAGAGATTCAAAATGTAGAAATTCCCGTGAAAGTTATTTTTTTTCCCCCCGACTGCAG